CGTTCTCTAAATATGTTTTTCTTATTGGTTAATGAATAACCTAGGTGGGACTAGGAGACAAGGAGGATTGTGGGAGATGTAGTAGAGAGGAGTCAAGATGTAGGACGTGAGAGAAGTAAGAGGTCTGGACCCTTCCTCTGGTAAGATAAGATCACATGGAAACACTAATACTGATATAAATGAGTTAATATTTAAGACAGAGCTAGCCAATAAGAAGCTCTAGCCATTGGCCAACAGCTTAATATCTAATATATCATCTCTGTGTGTTATTTTGAGACTGATGCAGCTCTGCGACCAGGCTGGCAGAAAAGTACTCAAACAGGATCTTTTTTGAATTTTGTATGTCTGAATATTTGCCTGCATGTTTATGTGTGCGCCATGTATATGCAGTGCCCACAGAGGCCAGAACATAATGTTGGGTTACCAGGAATTGGGGTTACAGCTTATTGTGTGTGGTGGTGGTGGTGGTTCTAAAACCGAATTGGAGTCCTCCTGCAAGAGGAGCAAGTGTTCTTAACTGCAAGGACATCTCCCTAGCCCCTAAGCTGTTTCTTCTGAAACTGCTGTAGATGATGCTGCTGTAAACATTTGTGTTCTCAGTTTTTAAATGAGCCTGTGTTTTCATTTTGCTCTGCTACATTTTCACTCTTTCCTGTGCAATTGAGTTGCTGTGGGTAGCATGACCTTTTCAGCCTGGAGAGCTTGCTTTAATATTTCATGTACGCCAGGTCTCTTGCAAGTATTTTCTCTGTTTTGGGTTATATTGGAATGTCTTTGTGTTCCCCTCACTTGTGATGGAGAGCTTGGTTGACAAATGATTTTCTTTCTTTTTTAAAATCACTCTGAGTATGTCACCTCTTTGCTGGCTTCTGTTGTGAGAAGTCACTCGTTCATTATGAGCTATGTTTAAATTTTGTTTGCTTTTCTTGTTGCTTTCAAGACTTTCCTCTTTATGTTTGACTTTTAGCAGCCTCACGATATTTCTGAATATGAGTGTCAATGTCCACTGTCTTTCTTCAAGGCCCTTTTCCTACCTCTTGCCTTGATTTTTTTGTTATTCTTTTGCTGGCCTGCCTCTACTGGTATCATAGAGCTCTCAGCCTTCTCTTATAGGTCATTGTTGACTGATGGGAGATGTAATTCTGTATATATGTTTCTTTTATTGGTTAATGAATAAAGCACTGTTGGCCAATAGGAAAGCAAGATAGATGGGACTAGGGAACAAGGAGGATTCCGGAAGGAGTAGGGAGGAGATTCAAGATGGAGGATTGAGAGAGAAGAATGCCAGGTTCTTTCTCCGGTAAGATAAGACCACATGGTAATACTTAGATTAATAGAAATGGGTTAATATTTAAGACAGAGCTAGCTGATAAGAAACTAATACCTGGCCAACAGAATTATATCTATACAGAGTCTCTGTGTGTTATTTGTGGCTGGTGAGGCAGTGGGACCTGACCGGCAAGGGAAAAAAATCTCTTCTTAACAGTTGACACTGCTCTCAGGCTAGGGTATGTAAAATCAAAAGCTATATTATATTTAAGGTGGCACTTGAATTTAAGATATTTAGTGAGGAAAAAGCTTCCAAAAGTCCGTTCACCACGTATTGCTTTAAAAACAAGGGCTGTGAGTACTGGAACCCAAACGGAGCTCTCATGAAAGACCCCCAACACTTTCACAAGGAACTGGTTCATAGTGTGTTTAACATTTTCTCTTGAGGTTTGGATTAGAAAGACCATGAAGCCTATCTGTGTGAACTCAGACTCTTGTGTTTTTCCAGTAATTTAATTCACTTGTTAATGAGCATAAACATTATTGAGCACCAGTGACATGCCTGGAACTCTTTGATGAGAAATACAGTGAAGAACAAGTCATTCCAGGCTTCCTTATAGGACTTACACACGAGTTAGAGAAGACAAATATCATCACATAAATATATTACAGATCATTATGCATTTCATTTTATCAAGTACAGAGTTCTGGAAGTCAGAGAGTGTGTTTTAGAAAGCAGTATTTAGAGCAAGACATGAGAAAGGGTTGCAGTGAAGAAAGGGAGTGAAGAATGGCCTGGCATGAGAGACTCCATGGAGAAGGAAAGAGATCAGTGAGGCAGTGGAAGTTTGAATGAAGATGGGCCCTATAGGCCTAGTCACTAGTGGATGAACTGTCTGGAAAGGATTAGGAGGTGCAACCTTGTTGGAGGATATGTGTCGCCAGGACTTGACTTTGGGGTTTCAAAAGCCCATGCCAGACCTAGTCTCTCTCTCTCTCTCTCTCTCTCTCTCTCTCTCTCTCTCTATCTCTCTATCTCTCTATCTCTCTATCTCTATCTCTCACTGCAGCGTGTGGATCAAGATGTAAATCTATCAGCTATTGTTGTAGCACCATGCCTGCCTGCTTTCCACCATAACAATAGCAGACTCGCTGAAACTGAAAGCCAGCCCCAATTAAATGGCCTCCTTTATAAGAGTTGCCTTGGTCACGGTGTCTCTTCACAGCAATGGAACACTAAGACAAAGTCTATGGGAATTAAAGGCAGCCAATGTGGCAGAAAACTAGAAGCTTAAAAAGATACTAAGAAACAGCCTAGGTAATGTAGGGCCTCTCAGGGTCTTGAATCCCATGGGTCTTGAATTTTATCTGTGTGCTGGTTAGTTTGGTGTCACCTTGACACAAATTACAGTCATCTGAGAGGAAGTAACCCCAAGTGAGAAAATGCTTTTTTGTAGGCAAGTCTGTAGTGCAGTGGTTCTCAGCCTTCCTAACTAATGCTACTACTGTTTAATATAGTTCCTCATGTTGTGGTGACACCCAACCATAAAATTATTTTTGTCTCTACTTCCTAATTGTAACTTTGATAGTTATGAATTGTAATGAAAATATCTGTGTTTTCCAATGATCTTAGGTGACTCCTGTGAAAGAACCATTCAATCCCTGAAAGAGGGTTGTGACCCACAAGTTGAGACCTGCATGACAGGCATTTTACACTAGTGATTGAAGCAGGAGGGCCCAACCCATTGTGGAAGCTAACACCTTTGGGCTGGTGGTCATGGATTTTATATGAAAGAAGGCTGAGCAAGCCAGTTAGCAGCAGTAACTCCATAGCCTCTGCATCAGCTCCTGTCCCCAGGTTCCTGTTCTTCTTGAGTTCCTGCCCTAACTTCCCTCAATGGTGGACTATTACCTAGAAGCATAAGCTGAAATACACACCCCCTCACTGCTTTTAGTCATGGTATTTCATCACAGCAACTCTAAACCAGCTAAGATAGTGTACTTGGTCTTGAGCACCCAGCACATGACTTTATTTCACTCCTGAAGACACTGACTGTGAAAGATAATCAGCTGGGGGCCCTGAGTGGGGCCAGAAGAGGAGAGCAAGAGAAAGAAGAGGCAGGTAAAAGGCTTTGGAGTCATCCAGCTAAGAGATGGTGTGACTTGGCTTAGGGGAACAAGGAAAGAGAAAAGTGGGTAGACTGGAAAACATAAATCTTTAGTTCTACTCTATGGTACCAAATTATTAACATCTCTAATTCAACCACCTAATTTCTCATTGCATTATGATTTTTACAAGGAAAGCTTTAGTGGTTGATATTATATGATGGTATTTCTTAACTAATTATTCCTCTTCTCAGAGTAAATCAGACGTGTTTTAGCAGAAATAAAGAAAAACGAAAAGAGCTTGGGGAACCCAAGGGGGATGAAGAGAAGGCAAGAGGGGTGAACATGGCTCACAGAATCAACTAAGCAGGGCTCACGGTGGCTCGCAGAGACTGAAATAGCAATCATGGAACCTGCATGGGCCTGTGCTAGGTCCTCTGTGTGTATGTTACAGTTGTTTAGCTTGGGGTTTTTGTGGGACTCCTAACAGTGGAAGTGTTGGTAAAACTGACTCTTGCCTGCTCTTGGGACCCTTTTTCTACTACTTGGTTGCCTTGTCCAGCCTTGACATGAGGGTTTGTACCTACTATTGTTGCATCTTGTTATGCTATGTTCAGTTGGCATCATTGGGAAGCCTGCTCATTTATGAAGGGAAATGGAGGAGCAGTGGATCTGGGGAAACTGGGAGATGTGGTGGGGGTGGAGGGAGGGGAGGTGTGGTCAGGATGTATTGCATGAGAGAAGAATAAATAAAAAGAAGAAAGAGTGAGAAAGAAATGAAGAAAGAAACATGGGGAAGAGGTAGGATGGAGATGGACCCATCTGCAGAAATAGGAAAAGAAGGTAAAACTCAAGTGATTTACTTTGAGTTCACAGAAACTGTAGAAAAAGTCATGCTGTTAGCTTTAACAAGAAAATTCAGTGGGATTACTGCATGAAAACACAAGTGAATGCATTTCTGTTTTTTATGCTTGTTTATTTATTGTAATGTGTATGTATTTGCATGTATGCATATATAGACATTAAAAAGCAGCTTGCAGAGAAAAAAAGGAACAAATAATACCTCATTATCTAGATAGTAAACTTGGCCTTCAAAGGCGTTAGGCAAGGGTATGACCTTGAATTGTTTTTTAAACTGGACTACAGAAGTAAGTCCTGGTGGTTTTAACTAAGATCTTGGAGAGGTTCTTTGGCTAAGCTGATGGAAGAGTCCCCTTGTGGTTAGGGCATTTCTGAGAATGAAGTGGCTGGGGTATGACTTTTGCTCAGAAGTTGCAGTGATTATCTTCTCTCAACTTACAAGGGACAGACTTGGTAGTCAACAGTATTCAAAATGCTCACTTAACCTAGAACAAGAAGATATTTATTTAATTCTTTGCATTTCTGGATGAAGAAATCATAGCCTAGAGAGGTTTAAAGACTTGTCCAAGAGCAAAGAGTTCACAAGAGGCAGACTGGGACATCTTTGAATACCCAGCGGCTTCCTAAAGTGCCACATTGCTGCACATTTATGTGTTTTAATGCTTAGCTAAAAAAAATCTTAAGAAAACACGTAAGACCATTTTATCTCCTCCACAGGCATAAGAACAAAGATGGCTAACAGTGACCTATGCTCTCTTTCCTAGTTGCATTCTATGGGAAAACTTCCTGGAACCAGAATGGCAGAGTTGAAAGCCAAGTACACCTTGCTCCATGACATGGTGGTGAGGTATGCTATTTGCCAGCATGGAGACATCTTCTATTACATCTTTACTTCTTACTTATAATGAATGGGACTTGTCTTCACTTTTGTTCCCTCCAAATGTGGAGTCTGAGGTAAGGGTCAGAAATGAAGTGGATTTTGATGATGCTGAAGAAATGAGACTGAAAAGGAAGAATCCAGATGGGGTGGGGTCATCTGTGGTCCATGCTGTGGGCAGCTGGGCCCAAGCTCATGGATTTACTAACTGAGTATTTAGAACAATCTTAGCTCTGCCACCACAAAGTGACACAGCCAGGGTATTTGCCCACTTGTTCCCATCCCTCATTAAGAATTGGCTTCTGGAGAAATTAACTATTGAACTTTGAGTTGACAAGCATGTATATAGGACCAGAAGTTCTCAGGCAGAGGGACGCAGGTGCTGATGTATGTATGGTGGCTATGTGTTGAAGATACTTCGGAGAAGAGGATTTTGATGGAACCCTGAAGGCATTTGCAGTTCTGCAGGTCCCTCACCAGCTGTTGTTCAGAGGTATAGATTCCATGACAACTCAGACTTAACCTACTAAGATCTTCATCTGTAGTTCTCACCACTTGCTCCTCCTTGCAGCTAAGTCCCAGTCAGCAGACTATGTGTCCACAGAATAAGGCAGCAGCTTTGCCCAGAGCCTATTTGCCACTGGGCACTGAAGCTATCTGAAGAACTCTTCACTATTGAGTAAGGACTATCAGCGCAGGACCAAAACTATGCAGTGTTATCTTCTGCTTCCAGGTTGAGTTGTGAAAGAGCTACTTCCCTTCTGCTAGTCACACTTGCCTCCTCTTGGCCCCTTACTTCCTTCTCTGCCCATTACAAAACCTACCACTCTGTCTTCAGGCCCTTAGGGACAGCACAAAGAAGCAGATACTAGATTTGGCAGATGTGGGTTGGAAGTACTGAACCAACATGATTGAGTTTCCCACAAAGACTATATCAGAAGCTAAGCCCTCTTCTACTGACACTGTATGTCGAGAGCATTTGTATGCTGGCTGGGAACCAACTGCTGAGCTGCCCCCTTTCTGTGTGGAAGAGCACTGTGACCTGATCCAGTGACATGAGTGACAGCTCATGTCAGATGAACAGTGTGTGTGTTAACATATTAGAACACTGAACATAAGAGAGTAACTCCCATTTCTATTCCTGGAAATTGGAGGTGTTCTCATCAGCATTGCTCTATGTGCTCCTACCATAGTTCCTGGAACATATTATGTTCCAATAAACATGTGGCTGGATGCCACTGAACACATGACACAGAAAAGTCTGGGAAAGCAGGTGGAGCCAGACACCTCAACTGAAACAGGCTTCATTAGGCTATGGAGCATCTTGCCAAATGAGCTGAAACCTAGAGAGTTTTTGTTTTGTAGGGACTAAGTGCACACATAGAGAGTGCTAGCTTTAAAACAGAACATAGCAAAGGTCTGCCTCTGAATAAGTCATGTATAGTAGAAATCTGGAGCCAGTACTAGCTTGTAGCATGCATGAGTTCTAGAATATTCTTGAGGATATATAAGGTAAACTTTATCTAGATCTGTCTACAGCAGATGTCCCTTCACTAAACAGTCCACAGAGCATAATCTTCTTTTCTATGATGTTCAAGTCTAGTTCTAGCCAGGTACCAGGTAGAATTAAAAAGTGATTAATTAATGTTCATAATTTTATAGGAGAATTTTCCAGGTTTCCCAGTAGTGGCTGTTAGAGGAGTGCTTGATGTCTTAGTTCAGTAAGAGGAAAAGATTTTGGCACAGTCAAATTTAGAAAATTAAAAGCACCAAGAAAAATGGGTTGCTGGAGCAGGTGAAGGGAATTTTCTCTCGTTCCCTCCTCCCTTGGAAATCCTGGTCTTTCTTCAAAGTCAGAGGGGACATCCTGTCCCCTTGGAATTACATGCTTTCTCCATTGCCCCCACTCCCTTTGTCTAGACACCTCTGGAGGTACTTATGACTACACACTGCAGCTGACTGTGTGCATCCTATCTCCCTGCTGAGGGTGGGCATCTCAGACCAGTAGGTGAGCCTCATTCATGGCAGTGCTGAGACTTGGCCCCACATGTGACTGATATGAACTGAATCCAGGAATGCGACCAGCTGTGATATGCTCCCACCCTATCCCCAAATCCTCTCAGGAATAAGGGAGGGTCCTGAGGATGTGCGCTACCTCACTGTCAATGTCTTTCCCTGTACCCTAGCACACAAGAGTCCGAGCTGCAGCTGCTACAGAATGCCAAGCTCTTCACAGAGCAGATCCAGCAGCAGCTTGTCCGTTTGCAGCAGGCCGATGACTTCCCCAACGTCTTCTCCACTGAGGTCTGCAAACTGCGGGAGCAACTGCTCAAGTACCAAAATGAATACAATGCAGTGCAAGAAAGGGAATACCACAATCAGTACAGACTGAACAGGTGAGTTCCAGTGCCTGGCTGGCTAGGTGAGTTCCCAGAGCCCTGGAGACAGTCCACAGTGGTGCAGGCTGGCTAGGTGAGTTCCTTGCAAGTTGGTGGCAGGCTGTTTCCTCATGAGAAGTTAAGTTGAGAGTTGTTCAGAAACGAGGAAGATGAGCTAACAACTACAAGCCTAGGTACTTTTCCTCTTGATTCCCTGTACTAAAACATCACACAAGTACTGGGAAAATAACTCAGATGACAGAAATCCCTGTTGTATTTTCTGGGGGGTCAAGGACTCCTGAGCTTTGGAAGCTGCTGCCAAAAACCACTACACATAGCAAGGACTTGGTGGCCTCTTCTGCTCACTTGCCCTTAGTTGTGTCTCTGTCTCTTCCCTTTTCTCTCACTGTCCTTCCTGACAGCACCACACCATATTGCCTGGGTCACATCTCCATCACTTCTTTCTTCTAACACAGCAGAGAGAGAACCATGGAGCCAACCATCTCCTCTATTACTAAAGAAAAAATTGCGAAGCTTCTTTCTCTTATTCAGGAGTCACTTAATGAAGCAAAGCAGGAGGGGGACCTGTTTCCCTGTCTCTCCTGTCCCTGTGGAGTTCAGCATACCCAGCTGTCTAGGGCTGTGTGACTGTGGTTTTGAGTTGTAGTGTGGTGTGCCTGGGTACTGGAAAAACATCAAACCCATCTGTCTTCCCAGACTCTGTTCCCATTTAAGGCAGAAGAGCTTTGGCATTTTTAACAGTATGTACAATTCAGTCAGTGCAAATATAATTCAGTACTGCCTGGAGATGACAAGTGTCTGAGTGGCCTCCGGAAAACTGTGCAGCCCCTGGGTCTTGAGATCTCCTCTTGTTGCTTATTTTTTTTTCCAGCTGAGGGATAGATAATGAAGGCAGTTTAATAAAGAGAATTCTATTCAGAGAGAAGAACAGTCAGGCGGCCTTTTCCATGTGTCTTTCGTCTAAGCTCATTTCAGACTCTCCAGAGAGAGCTATAAAAAGAAAACCAGCTATTTCTGTAAGCACTCGCTCTTTCAGCTGAAAACAATAATGAAATTAAAACAATTGCTTGTTGTTCATTAGTTTTGCAAATAGGAATTCGTGACATTTGGTTAAAGGGTAAGAAGCACACAAGTCAGATGATTTTTAAATTGTTTAAAATTTCCGAGTATTCCTGCCAAGAAAGAAGTAGAGGCAGGGATGGGGAGAGAACTCTTGCCTTTTAGGTATAGATAGGCAAATTGTTCACCAAGCTCCTCAGGATAGGAAAGGGACAGTGTGCAGAGACTTACACCAAATGAAAGCAGTCCAAAGCATGTGACACTCTACACTGAGCAGACCCCTGTATTCTCAAATATCAACACCTTGGGAAATAATACACTCATTTCTATAAAAATTAATTTTGCTACCAGAGGGATTTCAGGGAGGTAAAATGCATGTTGCATTTCATTCATTACCTTCACACATTCGGTATCACATGGTACAGAAACAAATCCACTCAATATGCCCAGGGGGGAAAGTAGGCATTTCTATCCACAGATAAAAATAAATGAAGCCAATGAGAGAGAGCTATTCATCCAAATATACAGACCATATTTGTCAGTGCAGCATAGTAAACTCTCATTGTATCCAGTGCCTAAATAATAGAAGCCCGAGTGATCACCACCCTCCACCCTGCGTCTTCAGGAACCTCTGAATCACTGGCAATGACAAGAACATCAAGTCACTTTAATTTGGCTGGTCTATTAGCTGCTGCCACTGCCTCTACTGACTCTCTCTTCTCTCCCTCCTCCTCCTCACAGACATCTGCCTCTGCCTCCCAGGTAAATTAAATTAAACTAAAGGCATGTGCCACCATGTCCAGCAACTTCTATTGTCACACAAAGTAAGATTTTTAATAGATGCTAATGGTCAGTAAAATTGTTTGATTAGTTAACTAAATCTGTGTTACAGTTTTAGTTTAGGGCTTGGACTCACTGATGATCTATTGATAGATACACACTTTAGGAAGAAAGTGCAGGGCATATTTAAGTATGCCAAGTCAACATAAATAAGTAGTTGCATGCATAATCAAGGATCTTATTTTGTAACCAAGGAAGACATTATTTTTCTGAAAGCTTTCTCTGAGAAAGGCTTTTTAATATTCTCTTCAATATTTGTCTTTCCTCTTACCTTTTTTCATGGTTTCCCTGTTTTCCACTAACTCCTAAAATTTGGGTAGCAAGTACATTGTATCTCTTGGGTTAAGTCTGACATATTCTGACAAGCCTTGGTCATCTGGGGAAGCAAGGCCATGGTTAGTGTCATTGGTCATGGTATGGACATGGAGAGTGTTGACGATCTAGCTGGGCATGTGCAGGGATGTCCTTGTTGACTCTTGGGGACTGGTTCTTCTAATCCCTGTTGCTGCCCACATAAGGCTTTTTACATATCTTCTGTTCTTGGTCCAATAAAGACATCAAAGTAAAAACCCAGGAACAAACCCATCAGCAAGAATGTGGTACAGGAATGTTGGGGAGTCTGCCAGAGTGCTCAAGCCTCTCGGCTCTTAGGCAAGTTCAGCTCCGAAGTTAGGATACCAGGAGCTCACAGCCACATGAACTTTTAGTTAACCTGGGAGTGTTTGTCTCACAATCCAAAGAATGAAAATCATAGATTCATATGTGGGAACTTATGTGGGGACAGAGCAGAACTCTTGTGTACCAGGAGGCACCCAGGAAATAGGAGGCCATCAAGCTGTCAGTCCAGGGTGAGGGATGACCATGATCTGCTAGAAACCAGGCTGGTGACTCCCCGTGGCCACCAACTGCTATGGGCACAGAAGAAGCTTCTTTTGTATCCATGACTACAGATGCATAACTGAGAATGGGAGACATTGGACACTTCTGTGCCAACCTCTCCCTCCACTCCCACCACCAAAAAGAAAAAATAAAAAAAAAAACAGTGCAGACATGAAGATATTGAAGAGAGTCCTTAAAAATTGTGATACAGATGCTGAAGTATATATAACTCTTCACAGCTGATGGCTCCTGGCAGGGGTGGGGCAGGGAGGTCTCGGTTTTCTTTAAGGGGGTGACACTGGGATTTGATCACGCTCCAGCGACTATATGGGTAACACAAATTGGACTTGGAGTTTCTTCTCTTCTCTCTTCTTTTCTTTTTGGGTTGAAAGGGTGCAGGGGTGAGAGTGTAGACCTGGGAGGAATGGGAAGCAAGTGTGATCTGGGTACATTGTATGACATTCCCAAGTAATTAATAAAAATATTATGTTGGAAAAAATTAAAACCTAAAATATCTTATACCATGAAGAAGAAGGAGAAGGAGGAGGTGGAGGAGGAGAAGAAGAAGAAAAAAAGAAGACGACGTTTGGTCTTAAAGTTAGTCTTAGCTCTGTCTACATGTTATCTATATTCAGTCAAGGATTCCCTCAAGATCAGTCAGTCTGTATTTGAACACCCCAAGGCCTGCCCCGTCCCATGGAGACCCACTCTAGCTTTGCAAAGCCCACAGAGAAAGTGCCATTTTATATTTATCTAAAAAGAAGATTCCCAGCCTTTATCATTAACTTCATGTCACCATTGTTGCCTTCAGCAGCAATAGCTGCCAGCACACGACCACCCCCTGGTGGCAGCATGCCCAAAGTGTAGTAGCAATGTAAGAGAAAGGAAACAAGGATCCAAGTCATAAATGCACAAAACTGAAAAATTCAGATCGAATCAATGCTCTGAACAACTAATTTATATTGGGTGCAGTGTGACACGCATTGTGAAACTATCATTAATTTATATCATTGCAAATGCAGTCTCCTGGAAATATAACCTGAAGCACAGATGTATACTGATTCATGGGATCTGCTTGATGCAGTAGGACCAGTGGTCATTATACTCCATTCACCCCCAAACCCCATCATCTGGTTAAGTCTTCTGTGTTTTCAAGTTCCTGCTGAGCAAATTTTTGGAAAATCTTGAGGCAAAGAAACTTGATCATTACATGCAGAAAAATAAGAGTATCTGTGCAAAATAGAGTTCAAACTATGGTTGTTGAGAGAGAAGTAAGCCATGGTTATACCCAGCATGCTGCTGTTATTTAATTTAGAATATTTGGGCTAACCCTAATTGAAGCGGTTTCCAAAATCTCACTTTTACACCATGTCACTTCATTCAATACTTAAAATAAAAACACAAGGGCTTCTCCTTTTCTGCATCAGTCTTCTCAGTAGTAAACGCAACTGCTTCCCATTCACCATCTCTACTCTGGTGTTTTTACTGCTTTTTGTTTGTTACTCTCTAGACAGGTTGGTTATATCCTATTGGAATTCAGCGAGGTCCTTGCTGACTTTCTGCTTTTGCCTGTTAATTTTGGAGAGGGGACTGTGGGTCTACAATTATAATTGGCTTATCTCTCTGAATCCAAAACTCAAGTTGGAAACTCTTGGGTGTTGTGTCAGCTCTCAAAAAGTTTCTAGATTTGGACAATTTCAAAGGTTGGACTTTAAGATTAAAGATAATCACACTTGTATGGTGGCCACTGTTTTTGTTGTTAGCATTGGTGTGGCCTGTCCACCATTGCATTTTAATTTTTAGGTCATAGGATGGGTTTTACGGTTGAAGAGTGGTTTCTGGTTAAGAGTACTGACTGGTCTTGCAGAAGACACGAGTGGCATTCCCAGCACCCACACGGTGGCTCACAACTGCCTGTAGCTCCAGCTCTAGGGGGTCTGATACCCTTCTGCTTCCATGGGCACCATGGACACACATGTATACACACACAGACACATACATGAATTAAAATAAAGACTTAAAACTAGTTTCTTATAGACAACCTATAGCAGGGTCCCTTTTCTTCATTCTTACAATCTGTGTTTTAATCGTCATTAGTTGGTATAACTGCGTTAACATTTGTGACGAATGGCCTTCATTGCCAGATTGATAGGACTCCAGATGGCTGTGGCTGTGACAGTGTTTCCAGAGAGGTATGCTTGCATGGTTTTTAAGAGGTG